TCCTCATGCTGCTGCCAGGTCCAGAGTGGTGTCATGGGTCCCTGTGAAACGGCCTTCCCATTGCTGCTGTCTCCATTGCCACACACTGCCATGTGTGCCACTTTCCGTCTCCATCACACTGCTGTGGGTTTCCATTTTGTCATAGGGTGCTGTATGGCCTCCCAGGCCTGTAATCTGCCATGGGCCCCGTACCGACTCCTCATGCTGCTGCCAGGCCCGTAATCTGTCATGGGCCCCTGTACCGCCTCCTCATGCTGCTGCCAGGTCCAGAGTGTGTCATGGGTCCCTGTACGGCCTCCCATTGCTGCTGTCTCCATCGCCACACTCTGCCATGTGCCACTTTCAGGTCTCCTCACACTGCTGGTGGGTTCCATTTTTGTCATAGGGTGCTGTATGGCCTCCCATTGCTGCTTCCTCCACCGCCACACTGTGGCTCCACACTTTGGTTTTGGCCCCGTGACTGCCCAAATGAGTGAAGTGTGTGCGGTGATTCTAAGATCGACGGCACTCATCTGCATGTCATACTGACTGACAGTATTATTTCTCTTCCCCAGCAGACTCCAAGGGCATTTAAATTAAAGGTACAGTGTTCTGCACTAATATAAAGGCTCTCTGAAGCCTAGAAACACCCTTTTATAAGTTAAATTCGCAGCGAATATATTCGCCTCGAATCGAATTTATTCCTCGAATTCGCCGAATCAGCCGAATCGAATTTTTGAATACTTCGCTCATCTCTACTTATGTTACTTAGATAATGTTTTGTTTGATCCCTACAGTGGGCAGTTTCACCGTGCCAGACGCGCATACCTCAGGTCGGCAGTGAAGGAATTAGAAACCATTTTGTCCGATGAGCCAGGACTGCTGGGTCCAAAGGTAAGGTGTTCTAGAACAGAGGTTTTCAGAACTGTTCTCTGGCTTTAACCACAGTGCATGTTTTCTGGATGTCCTCTTAACAGCACGTGCAAAATATGGCTCTTTATTTTCAAAGTAGTGCTTTATCCTTCTGTGTCTCTGATAGGAAATCTACTATGTGTTGGTCATGAGTCCCAAGGTTAGGGTTGATACCTCATGTTCTAAACCCATGAGGTTAATTATATTTCCATTTAAGTATACTGAATTGATGACTCAATTTGTTTCAGGCTCTGTTTGCTTTTATGGCTTTATCCTTATGCCGGGATGAGATTAACTGGCTGGTACGGCATGCTGAGAATGTCACGAAGTCTAAGACTCCAGAAGACTACATAGATGTGTAAGAACAACTTGACTGTTACAGTTGTACCCTGCCTTCAACTACAGTACAATTTTTCTGCAGCTGAATGTGTAGTGGGATAGCAGGGGTTCACAAATTTCAGATAAATGTATACTGAGCACTGTAAAGACTCATCTACACAGACGTCAGAGTCAAAATAGGTCAAACGTGGTATACTTTCTGGTGCTCCTGGCTTGCCTTCAAGTTGCTCAAGTAGTTGCTTTAAAAAGGACATGTGATGTGGAACTTATGTCTAAAAAAGTCAAGTGGTGATAGGAGGCATAGTCATCAATGTGGCCTGCAGGCTCCCTGCAGCTGATTTTTTTTCACCAGAACTAATTTTCAGCGCTTTGTGTGTCTGCGTAGAGTGGCCATCTTGGCACAGGAGCAGGACTGTGTTTGATTAATGTCAGACCCACCCACATGATGACTGGTGATCACTCACTTAACCAGACTAGATGTCCCTAAAACACATCAAAACTGCACGTTTAGAGTATAAGTCCACTTTATACTCCTCCTGAGTTGATTTGAGCTGCTTCTAAGTTGCATTTTCATTCATGTTGACATGTATAAATAAAGAAAAGTGTCCATGACGCAAAGATCATTTACATGAGCCCAAAGGAATATTTGTGAATATGTCTGGTGTTTTTCAGCATGAAACAATGTGCTGAGAGCAAAGACTATTTCATAATTGAAAAATAAGCTGGTACCTTTTCTGTGGATCTGTAAAAAAAACTTCCTGTAAACACAATATATGTGCAAGCTTTACTGATAATATCTACTGTATGTTCTGTCTATTATGCTTTTCTTGCCTATTATAATAAATTTTTTTGCATTAAATTATTTCAGCCATATAGCTGAGCTGATGTTTTCTATGGAGGAGATCCGGATGTTAGTCAAAAAACATGTGCCTATCATGCAGAAATACCATCTCCAGTATTTAGCAAAGTTTGATGCACTGATCCTCAGTGACATCATCCAGGTATGTAAACCATTAAGGAAAAGTATATATTAAAGGTTAAAATGTACCTTCCTTGAAAATGGAAAATCTGCTTTAACCCCCCCCTGCCCATCCCCTTCCCAAATACAAATAACTTGAGGAAAACTCTTAAAAAAATAAACTCGGCTCATGGTGTCTATTGTGATGATACCATGAATTACTGTTGCCTCCTGGGAAAGCTGGGCACTTAAAATCTCATGAGAATGCACTCCCGCAATGGGCTGAAAGGGCATTCTACTAATTTACATGACTTGCCCAAATATTCACCTGAAGATTTGACTAGAAATATGAAAAAAATCCAATGTACTAATAACATTTGGATGACATTCACTAATGCAACATTCGGTTATGCAAGATTTGCCCATCAGTTGCAGACATAATAAACGAGTAATCATCTTTATTTCATTTGAAAATAATTTTGCAATGGTTTGCATATGGTTTTTGTTCATGGTGTGTGTTTTTGTAGAGTCACAAAATAGATACAATGTGAAAAAATATTTTTTTTAATCTTCAAAAAAACGATGGCATGTTTTGAATCAGAAAAGTAATTTAGTGTTATTACAAATGGGAGAGATCATAGAACAAATCTGGCACATGAACACATACTAGATAAAAAGCATATTTTTTGTTTTATGTTATTTCTTTGGTTTGCATTGGAAACTAAATCATTTTTGCAATATTGCGAGAAGACAGCTTTTTTGGTCTGTTTTTCATTCGTGTTTGTTTTTGTAGGCTCATGTTAAAAATGCACACAATTTAGGAAAAAGACCTTTATTTAATTTGCAAATAATTTTACCATGCTTTGTATTATTGTAATTATTTGTTTAAGTTGCAACCAATCACAGAGCAAAATTGTCACTTTTACCTACAGTAGATTACATAAAATAAAATAATTTTTGCATTACCAAAAGCCTTGTTTGTTTAATAAATGATATACTGTATGTAGTAGTTCAGCATCACATGTAATAACAAAATTATCCCTGATTGAATAGGCCCATAGCTGAAATTTAAAGACTGCTTCGTTCATAAAAGGGTGTACAGGTGTGGGAGCTCAGGTGGTTAATAATGTTAAAGAGACCATTCATTTCAATAACAATCTTCCCATAATTCGTTATTACTGTTATGAGTGTTATTTACCTGTAAAACCCTTTCTTGTGTAGACATCCAAAAGTCCTTCTGCTGATGCCACCATCTTCAGTGTGATGTCAGCAGCCCCAGCAAACTCAGAGTGACAGTCTATCGTATTCCCCTTTGCTCCTTCCCTAGCAGCTACATAATTGTTTAAGGAAAAGAAAAGAATAAAGTGAGCATACTTTTTCTGTGCCTTTTCCTGCAATTTTGGAGACGGTGTCTCTAAAAATTATAAATTGCAGTGTGTATCAATTATATGTTATACATTTTTAGAGAATACAGAGGCTTTTTTTGTTAACAGAAAATACATACGGGATAATTGTATTGTGAAGTGTATACCTTTTTGGTATTTTACCTGAAAAGAAAATTGTATATGCAGTTGAACTGCATTTGTAAAAAGAGGGCCAGATTTCCATCACTGGAGCCCGTAGGTACACAGTCCTTAGTATTTAAAGCATCATCTCCCTGCTAGGATCAAGTGAAACACAGAACATTTTCTTGTTTTCCTCATCCTAGCTTTATTTATAAAACTACTTACATGCAGTATTGTCACAATATTTATTTTTTTCTGATGATGATTGAAGTGACCTGCCAATAACTGTTCTGGATAAAAGCTGCCTCTTTGTGTCAGTAGCCTATAGGCACAGGCCCACTGTGCCCAATCGTAAATCCATCCTTGAAAAAAAGAATGATATGTTTTTAAATCTAAAATAAATTGACTAGTCAGTTATCTGCTAATTAATGTTTAAATTGTTCTGGGTAACCACAAAAATCTGGTGTGTATAAATTATCTTCTAGAATCTCACTGTTTGCCCAGAAGAGGAATCTGTGATAATGTCTTCATTTGTAAGCCATTTGTCTGCACTGAATGTAAAACAAGGTAACAAATCATTTGTAAATTCAGAATTTAAAAATGTTTTGCATTGTGTGTGAAATTTTGCATTAAAGAGGAACTCCAGGCTTACAGCTAAACACTTGCTTTCTTGCTTTTCTGTTCAGCTGCCAGTAGCAAGAAAAGGAAACTCTGTAAGTGCCAAGTCATTCTAGTAAGGGCTTATACATAGATAAGATCTGTCTCCCCACACCCATGTGACAGCACTGGGCCAATCACCAAGTACCAACACTGCTACATGGAGTGGGTCAAACGGCCCTCCATATAGGGGAGTACCAGGGAGTCCTTCACTCCCCATGGCTGAATGAAGCAGAAAGTGGGAAAAGCAAGTGTGGGTATGTGTTGCTGGGCAGGGGAAATTAAAGAAAACCGTCCCTTCTCCTTGCGTAGGCAAAGCATAGGTTTGCTTTAAGGCCCACATTCACAATGAACCAGAAAACTGCATAGACACTCCTCAAAGTCATTTTAGAGCAACATGGTTTTCTCATTTCTTATACGCTTATATTCCCCACTGCAGTTGACAACAAAGAAACATTTGATTTTAAAGCCCTGAGACTTGACTGGTTCCGGCTCCAGGTAAGAACTTTGTGTGTGTGTATATAATACCATGAACAAACAGAAATGGACCGCCCTCTTGTTCATGTGAATAAATATATAAATGATCTATGCCCACATAAACTGTGCCAAATAATATATAACAATCCGCAAATTCAATAATAATACAATAAATATATGTGAGCATTACATATTACTAAAGTGCCTGATTCCAACAGAAACAAAATGCAAAATGATATACAAATTGTGCAAAAATATAAAAATGACCACCCATAAACTATGTACCAAACAATATATAACAATCCCAAAATTTAATAAACATGGCAATGAATAAATAAATATGAGCATTACATATTACTAAAATGCCTGATTCCAACAAAAACAAAGTGCAAAGTAATATACAAAGTATTGTGCACATGATTTATGTAAACATAATTTAATATATAACAAATGTCCATAAAAGGCGCTCTGTGCTCATAATCTGTAGCCTTGCTGCGCAAAGTAATGAAAAACACCCAAAGGATAAGTACTCTTCCTTCTCCGAAACAAAATCACACCGCACTCACCAGACTAAACTGACCTCTTTTCTCAAAGAAAGTCAAATGCGCATAGGGTAATCCAATTGGATTCTATACTCCAGCCGATACACTAAACACCCATTGATAATCCTTTCTTTATAAAGACTCTGCATGAAACTCCCTCATAGAGGGAAAAGGAAACTTCTCATGGTGTAGTAATTCTTATTTACTAAGAAAAACATTTATTAAGAAAAACACTTTGAAAATGCACTTACATACGTTAAAACTTTTCAGCAAATACAAATCTGCATAAAAACCTATGGAACGCCAATTTGCGTTCTACTGCCTGGAAGTGACGTATCAAGGTAGTCCTGCCCACTGCATTTCGTCAACAACATCTGATGTCATTGGACCCCTGATGAAACCAGACATTGCTCACAAAACGCACTGGGTGGGACTACCTTGACATGTCACTTCTGGGCAGTGGAACGCAGGTGGAATATTTAATCCAATTGGAATACCCTATGCGCATTTGACCTCTCTTTGAGAAAAGAGGTCAATTTAGTCTGGTGGGTGTGGTGTGTGATTTTGTTTGGATTTTGCTTGTCCTTTGGGTGTTTTTCACTACTGTGCATGGCACGACTACAGATTATGAGCACAGAGCACCTTTCATGGACATTTGTTATATATTAAATTATGTTTACATAACTATTTTGCACAATATTTTGTATATTATTTTGCACATTCATTAAATTGTTTATTGAATTTGCTGATTGTTATAGTTTGGCACATAGTTTATGTGGGTGTAGGTCATTTTATATTTTTGTATAATTTGCATATAATTTTTCACTTTGTTTTCGTTGGAATCAGGCACTTTAGTAATATGTAATGCTCACATTTATTTATTGTATTATTATTGAATTTGCGGATTGTTATATATAGTTTGGCACATAGTTTATGTGGGCGTAGGTCATTTTATATTTTTGTACAATTTGTATATCATTTTGCGCTTTGTTTTTGTTGGAATCAGGCACTTTAGTAATATGTAATGCTCACATTTATTTATTGTATTATTATTGAATTTGGGGATTGTTGTATATTGTTTGGCATGTAGTTTATGTGGGAGTAGGTCATTTCTATATTTTTTCACATAAACAACAGCATGATCCATTTTTGTTTGTGAATCTCGGTCTATGTTTGTGGGCTGGTTGAAGTGCAGATCTTAATTTTAGTTTACTTATTTTATATATAGAGAGTGTGGTCTCCTTTTTTATTTATCATATACCATGCCTATCAGTTGTCCAGTGCACCCTATCAAATACTGATACTGAGAAAGGCTAAGTTTGTTTGTTTTTTTAAAATAATAAATACATATCCTTTTTCAGGTAAAAAAAAAACGTGCATTTTAAATATTTTTTTTATGAGGGGCCATTTTGTTTTCAGCAGATCTTGGGTGCAATCTCAGCCTTCTGCAGACTCGCAGGATAGCTGTCTGCCTGTACCTCGTATGGGAAGGCAGTTACTGAATTGCAGGAAGAATCAATGAACTACTGGAGCACTCTCCAGCACCCTCTTAGTTCATTGAGAGCTACAAGCCACCAGCTTCAATGGTTGATGGTAGTTGTAGTTCATTCCTTCACAGAACTCTGTAAATGAATGATGTGGTCAGTGGGGGGGGGGGGGGGGGGGGGGGGGGGGGGGGGGGGGGGGGGGGGGGGGGGGGGGGGGGGGGGGGGGGGGGGGGGAGTCCTGCATGGCAATGTTCTCTTTTTAAATTGTGACAGTGGGTGTGTGGATAAGAGATACATGGTACATGGCCCTCTGTCACAACAGGGGGGAAGGGGTTGGCTACTTATTTAGTAATCTGAATATGGATGTGTTGAACAAATTATAAAGGCACGGATCAAGCACACATTATGGACCTTTAAGTTGCATTCAATGTATTCACCGTTGTTGCATAATCACATGGTTTGGATGCTTTAAGTCATATATGAGGTTATAGAGGTATATGCGCAGCACTATTTTATGACATGTCTTTTGTGTGAGGAAATGCATGTAAGTGTCAGCAGCACTGGTATACACAGGAATGTAAGGAGTTATTTGTTGTGATGAAGTTTTATTTGTACAAAAGGTGTGCAACTGTCTGGCTGCAATAACTTTTTATGACACTAGATGTCAGTAAAAGTAAATGGCATTTGTTTAGAACTGGTAACTTTGTTCATTGGATTTCATAGCCTGCTGTTAGGGAGACATATAAATAAACAATGTGCGCCATCGAAATTAAACAGCTCCACTGCAATGTTTGGCAATAATCACCATGGCTTTCAATAAAACAGGAAGCATACTGAGTGTTCATAATGGAAACAGATAAATTAAGGCATACATTAGTAAATCCCAGCTGAACAATGCAATTTCTTAGGGATAAAAGACAGGGCCACCACATGCCACATCTGGAGCACAAATTTGATCTATTCTGTGGCCATTACTGAGCAAGCATTAGCAGTCTAACAGCTGCTGTCTTTCTCTGAGATGCCTGTACATATATATGATAAGAGGGATTTTGGCACGCAACATAAAAAGGCCAAACTGCTTTCCTTCTAAAGTCTATAACCATGGATGCAAAGAGTTCTTTCCATATGTTTGGCAGACCGTGTGTACCTCTATGCTGATCATTACTAGGCCTAAACTGCTGTGTTGTTTCTAAAGTAAGCCTTAAGGTCAGGGGCGGACTGACAACTCATGGGGCCCCCAGGCAATAGGGGATCATGGGGCCCCTGTGCCCAAACTCAAAAAAGCTTATGAAAAAGGTACCAGGGGCATCTCATGGGGCCCCCTACTAACCCCGGGCCCTCGGGCAGTGCCCAAGTTTCCAAATGGTCAGTCTGCCCCTGCTTAAGGTTCATTCACACCATAACATGCATTATAGTAATGCACGCCAACACACACTATGTATTGTGTTGTAGTGTATTGCCAATCATTGCCACTAACACCCCCTCATCTACAGTGCACAGTAACATTCCTATACAACAGTCTACCTCACGGGTGTCAAACTGGCAGCCCTCCAGCTGTTGCCAAACTACAAGTCCCATGAGGCATTGTAAGATTGACAGTTACAAGCAAGACTCCCAAAGGCAGGGGCATGATGGGACTTGTAGTTTTGCAACAGCTGGAGGGCTGCCAGTTTGACACCCCTGTTCTACCAGAATGCACAGATTGAAATGCTCCATGTGTTGCAGTGTGCTGCTCTGCAAAAATTGCAGGACTTATCTTTTCATACGTTCAGATCCATTCAGAATTATTGGGCTACAAAATACAAAATGTCCCTTAAAGTGTTACTAAACCCACAACAGTAAAATCAGTCTGTATATGCAGTAAAGCATACTTGTTATACTCACTGTGGAACTTAAGGGGTTAATCCTCTGCAATGTGTAAAAATGCTGTTTGATCCTGTCTTTTCTGATCCTCCCCTTCTTCCAGTGTCCCCCTCTTATCTCCTGATAAGACATATCGTGTGGAGACACTCTGCACATGCTCAGTTTAGAGTGTATGGCTAGAGAGGATTTTTTTTCTTTTGGCGAATGCATGTGATCAACACAGGACCAATCAGCGCTGTCCTGACAGGGGGTCAGGGGTCCTGCAGCCTCATAGGATAATCAGAGGAGAATAAAAACTCCTGCTGCAAGCTTTAATCAGTGCTCATCTGGACACAGATAGAAGTCACAAGACTGCTATATACTGATGATGAGAAAAGGTATTTAGCAGTTTATATTTACTAAAATAATTGCAGTTCCATGTTCTGTGTACTGTGTGAGTCCAGATATAGTGAATGCAGGGTCCTGGGTTTAGTAACACTTTAAAGTGTTTTTTTTTCACAAAACAGATGCAGTTAACATTACTTACATGTATTATCTTTTTTCAATAGATTTCTTCCTTTGAGTTTACATTTCAAGTTGTCCTCTGGCTGCGCTGACACACTCCCAAATCTATGTCTGCCCACCATGCCCTGGGACCAATGGAGTACCATATGAATCTCCCATATGTGTACACTCCAGCTATGTACTAAAACTCTGTATGAAGCCGCTGTGAGCAGAAGTAGAAGAGGCGTGGCTTTTACTATGTGTCCCTCTCATGCTATCTCTGTGTGTGGCACTCACAGTAGCTACATGTACAGTTGTAGTGCAGGTTTGAAGTACACACATACAGGAGACTCATACAAGACTCCATAGTGGCATAGTGGGCAAACATAAAATGGTAAGTGTGTCAGCATGGCCAGCGGACAACTTGATGGGTAAACTCAGTGAGGGAAATAAAAAAAAAAGATAATGCATGTAAGTAATGTTCTTTGTATCAGTTTTATGAAAAAAAAACCAAAAACCTTTATAGTTATTTTAAAGCCTATTTAACGCCTCATCTTTTTTTTTACCTCTTTATAGTCTTGCATCCCTGCATGCTGTGATATGTTGCTAATTTTTGTTTTAACCACTTGCCTACTGGACACTCTTACCCCCTTCCTGCCCAGGCCAATTTTCAGCTTTCAGCGCTGTTGCACTTTGACAATTGCTCGGTCATACAACACTGTACCTAAACTACATTTATGTAATTTTTTTTTTGAGACAGGTAGAGCTTTCTTTTGGTGGTATTTAATCACCACTGTGCTTTTATTTTTTGCTAAACAAACTAAAAAAGACAATGTTTTGAAAAAAAAGTTTTTCTTAGTTTCTGTTGCAAAATTTTGTAAATAAGTAATTTTTTCCTTCACTGATGTGTGCTGATGAGACTGCACTGATAGGCGGCACTGATGCACACTGATGGGCACTAATAGGTGGCACTGATAGGCAGCACTGATAGATGGCACTGATAGGTGGCACTGATCTGTACTGACAGGCATTTGATGGGTACTGAATGGCAGCACTGATAAGCGGAACTGACTGGCACTGATAGGTGGCACTGATGGGCACTGATAGACTGCACTGATGAGGAGACACTGATAGGTGGCACTGATGGGCACTGATAGGCAGCACTGACTGGCACTCATTGGTGGCACTGATAGGCGGCAGTGATGGGCACTGATATAGTGGCACTGATAGACGGCACTGAGTGGCACTGATAGGTGGCACTGATGGGTACTCATAGACTGCACTGATGAGGAGGCACTGACAAGCGGCACTGATGAGCATTGACAGGCATCACTAATGGGCACTGAAAGGCAGCTCTGATGGGCACTGATATGTGGCATTGATGGACACTGACTGGCGGCAATGATGGGCACTGAAAGGCAGCACTGATGGGGTTGCATTGATATAATCAGGGCACTGATGATCAGTGCTCTGATTATCAGTGTAGATATCCCTCTGAGGAATGCCACTTACAGCCTCTCCTCACCTCACGCACTGTCAACATGAGAAGAGGACTGCTGATAACTGGCATTTCCTGTTTACATGTAATCAGCTCTGATTGGATAGAGCTGATCACATGGTAGAGCCTATGTCATCAGCTCTTTATGGCGATTGGTGTTCCACTGTGTTTGATGACATAGCTCACCACCGATCACTGAGGTGTCCCTAAACAAAACATGAGCTCCTCCAAATGACAGTCCCAAGAGATGCATGTTATCGTGACATTGTACAGTAGCTACATAATTAGTAGAATAATCCCCAATAAATCAATGACATCCCCTGGAAAGATCACACGTGGATTTGGTTACTATTCAGGTTACTATTACTCACCACCGATCACACTGAGGTGTCCCTAAACAAAACATGAGCTCCTCCAAATGATCACACATGGATTTGGTTACTATTCAGGTGAAATGGAAATTGTAAATCATAATATGTTCATACATAAAAAAATTATGTTTGACTTGTTTGTTGTTATAACAGTTGATAGTATATTCAGTTTCCTCCATGTTTTGTTCCTAGGCATATACCAGTGTAGTAGAAAGCTAGCCCCGCTATCTCTTCGAGACAATCAAGATCTTGGGAAAATTATGAATCTGATCATGTTTCACACCTGGATGCTGGACTCTGTAGAAGATATGATTATTGAGACCTCAGACCTCTCCATCTTTTGGTTGGCATTTCGTTACTGTGATCTTAGATTTTATCTTTTATTTGTATGACACTAGTGTTTCTAAATAAAATACAAATCAGGCAAGTAAAAAACAACACTTTTAAGGGCCTGAAGGATATATGAGAGCTGCATTTACTGTCTTTCTAAGTTGCATGCTCTAGAGCTGCCATTCATATGCTACCTATACCATCTAGGATAGTCATTCTCAACAACCTCAGGGTTCATGCAGAGGATACTGTTTTTTTTTTTTGTTTTTTTTTTAGCTTTTCTGCTGTTTGACCTCTGATCTGATGGTACCTTTTATAGTTCCAGGTCCAACACCACTTAGCAGAGCCTATGGCATGATACCAATTATCTTTATATTTGTTTGTATGGATGCCATTCTGACCACTGACCACAAATGTAAGGGGTAATTTTCTAATCACATAAGATTAATTACTTTTAGGAGGGGTTCCCTGAGACCTGAAAATTATTTCAAGCTTTCCTCTGGGGTACAAAGGCTCAGGGAGTCACTGACTTAGAACAAGCATTGGGCCATGTCTAAACTCTTGTCCTGTATACTTGTGATTCTCTAGGTCAGCCTTTTCAACCTGGGTTCCCAGGCCCCCTGGGGTGCCTTGACGTTCCTTAAGCGGTGCCTTGGCAAAATTCCTAAAAATTGCCCAAGAATTGAATACTAGCCACCATGTGGATGAAGCCTGCCTTTTAGTTACACAAAGTTATAGGTTTTCAATATGCACCATTACAACCTTCTAGTCGCTGACAGCCGATGATGCCATCAGTTGATAAGGAGGATGTCGGTCGCCTGCACGACATCCTTGTTTGACCCTCTCCTGCCCCTCTGTCAGTAATGGGGTCAAATTAGCTGAGTGATAGAGAGAAACTGAGGGAGAGAAACACTGGAATACTATTCAGTATCTGTGTACAAAAGTGTTTTTTGCTTTGCAAGAATAAATCCCCTCTAAAATTGGGTGTCCTACATGTGTGAATGCTGCTGTTTTAGGTAAAACTATTAGAATAGATTTTTTTATATTTTAGAGAATGAGGTGCCTTGAGACTGTCCGTAATTTTAAAGGGTCCCTCAAGGTTGTTCATAACTTTAAAGGATGCCTTGGCTGAAAAAAGCTTGAGAAACACTGCACTAGGTAGTGAAGCTAGGCTCAGGATTACAGTTGTCAAATGTAAACACAACTATGCAACAGCATTTTCTGGATTATCATCAATGGTTCCCTTTAATTACTTATTTCGCATTCACAGGTCAAAATGCTTTTTTTTGCTGCTCTAGGTGCCAGATTGTCCTGCTGTCAGAATACAATGACACAATGGGGAGTATTGAATATATGGATGGGGCAATCAGTTCAGTTTTTTTCATTTATCCTGCTGGCTGAATGAATAAAAAAACTGAGCCATGTATGGCCAGTTTAAGCAGAACAGCATGTATCAGGTGTTGTTTAATCTCTCTTTATCTTGTTAATGTTCTGATCTGTGTTGCTTTCTTAGTTTTCATATCCGCACATTTGAAAAGATGTTCTCGCTAACAATGGAAGAGCCCTCTGCTTTGCGTTACTCAATTTCATTTCCACTGGCCTGCTCTCACTTCTCGAATTGCACCCACGAGATGTGCCCAGAGGAGGTGAGATACCAAATTACTCTGTAACAACAGTAGCAACTAAATAGTCCTGTTGACCTTAATTGTTGTGTTCAGGTTACATTTTGTTTATCTTCCCATGTTATTGTTTGAAGCCCAGTTATCCTGTTAATTATGCATGAATTCCTTGTGGTTTCCAAAGGCTGAGGATTGTTTTAGATTACAAGCATATTTGTGGGGCCATTTCACTCCTGTCTGACCAACATGTACATGACTCCTTGTAGGCCTGTTGTGAAGCAGGTCATTAAATGCCTAGTCACAGTATTTAGTGCCAAATGGGACTCATAAATAGCCAATGGGGTAAATATTAAAATATATTAAGTTGGGTATAATCTCACCTTTATACGTCAGAAGGAATTGGCATATAATCACTACAGTATGGATCTTAAAAATAAGAGGTTTAAGGGCTTGTGTCAACAGGCTTTTTTTTGCTTCAGAACTGCTTATCTTCTCATACAAGTCCATAGAAAAGCAAACACAGGTTAACTGCACCTGAAATTAATGGTGTCAATAGCATACTGCATTTGCCCATCACAGCCCAACAACACAGGCCCTAAGTAAAATCAGTTGGGATTACAGTTCTGATTAGGAAAATGTTTAGAGGTTAGGAGCAGGTCCAGGTTAGGTTTAGTTAAGTTGATGTTAACCTCATTAAGCCAGCAGGAGCTGGCTCTTTCAGTAGGTTGTAATGCCAAGGTAAAGAGGAGGGGCTCCCAGTCGTGTGGTTCTGTAATTGGATGCATAGTGCTGATGTTATCGGGAGCCCAGATTTCGATTGCCAGTAGTTGATCATGAGCTTTCCATGACATCTTGGTCACAGTTCTGGGGGAGTGTGTCCAAGAACAAGACAGCAATGCATATACTGTATGCAACAGCTGGGGGTTAATGTCCACCCTCCTTACTGCAACATACATACTGTATGTAGCTGTCTTAAGGGGGTAAAGTATAACTATAACCAAAACTTCTTTTTTTTTTTTTTAGAAAATAAAAGGGACTGGTTTTTATTGTCCGGTCCTCCCCTTTCGGGGACATATACAGTCATGGCCGAAATTGTTGGCACCCTTGATATTTCTCCAGGAAATCATGTATTTCTCACGAAAACGTATTGCATTTAAGGTTTTTGTATACACATGTTTATTCCCTTTGTGTGTATTGGGACAAAACAAAAAAAGGGAGGAAAGAAAGCAAATTCGACATAATGTCACACAAACCTCCAAAAATGGGCTGGACAAAAGTATTGGCACCCTTTCACAACTGCGGATAAATAAGAATGTTACAAGCATGTGATGCTCCTGTAAACTCACCTGGGGCAAGTAACAGGTGTGGGCAATATAGAAATCACACCTGAAAGCAGATAAAAAGGAGAGACGTTCACTTAACCTTTGCATTGTGTGTCTGTCTGTGCCACACATGGACAACAGAAAGAGGAGACGAGAACTGTCTGAGGACCTGAGAACCAAAATTGTGGCAAAATATCAACAATCTCAAGGTTACAAGTCCATCTCCAGAGAACTAATTTGCCTTTGTCCACAGTGCGCAACATTATCAAGAAGTTTGCAACCCATGGCACTGTAGCTAATCTCCAGGGACGGATGAGGAAAATTGATGAAAGATTGCAACGCAGAATAGTCCGGATGGTGGATAAGCAGCCCCAAACATGTTCCAAAAGACCAAGCTGTCCTGCAGGCTCAGGGAGCATCAGTGTCAGCGCGAACTATCCGTCGACATTTAAATGAAATGAAACGCTATGGCAGGAGACCCAGGAGGACCCACTGCTGACACAGAGACATAAAAAGCAAGACTACAGTTTGCCAAAATGTACTTGAGTAAGCCAAAAGCCTTCTGGGAAAACGTCTTGTGGACAGATGAGACCAAGATAGAGCTTTTCGGTAAAGCACATCATTTACTGTTTACGAAAACGGAATGAGCCTACAGAACAAAACACAGTACCTACGGTATATGGTGGAGGTTCAATGATGTTTTGGGGTTGTTTTTTGCTGCCTCTGGCATGGGTGCATGTGTGCAGCATCATGAAATCTGAGGATTACATCTTTTGGGTCACTGTAGGGCCCAGTGTCAGAAAGCTGGGGCGTCCAAGATCCTGGGTGTCCAGCAGAACAATGACCCAAACATACGTCAAAAAGCACTCAGAAATGGATGGCAAAGAAGCGCTGGAGAGTTCTGAAGTGGCCAGCAATGAGCCCAGATCTAAATCCATTGAACCTGTGGAGAGATCTTAAAATTGCTGTTGGGAAAAGGTGTCCTTCAATAAGAGAGACCTGGAGCTGTTTGCAAAGGAAGAGTGGTCCAAAATTCCGGGTGAGAGGTGTCAGAAGCTTATTGATATAGGAAGCGACTGATTTCAGTTATGTTTTCCAGGGGTGTGCAACCAAATATTAAGTTAAGGGTAACCAGCCCATTTTTGGGGTTTTGTGTGACCATATTTGCTTTTCTGCCTCTGTTTTTATTTTTCCAATACATACAAAATAAACATGGGATAGCAAAACATGTGTTAATGCAATTACCTTTTTTGTGTGAAATACTTGATTTTCAGGAAAAATATCCTGCCCCAATTTCGGCCATGACATATAATATTGTAAGGCACAAAAATTGTTTACTTTCAAATCTTGTACACTCCTGTTTTTTTTATCTTAGCACACAATGAGTATGTGTAAACTTTTCCCACACCTAGCCAAGACTCCTGACAATACAGTGTGGTTTTTTGAATGGCATGTTTGATGAATATGGATCCTCAAAGAGAAAATTATTCTTTGTAGCTAAATTTGCCTATTGGAGAATAGGCACAAAATTAATATTCAATCTTTATTTGTAAATGATAGTCCAAAGAACATGAACATCAAATGCAATTATCCTTTAAACAGTCTTCATGAATCCCTTTAAACGGAATTCAAAGCGCATACAGTTAGGTCCATATATCCATATACCGTATATATATATTTGGACATAGGCCATAGGCACAATTTTCATACTTTTGGCTCTGTATGCCACCAAAATAGATTAAAATGAAACAATCCAAATGAATTTAAAGTGCAGACTTTCAGCTTTAATTCAAGGGGTTAAACATAGATATCAAGTACAAATTTTAGGAATTGCAACCATTTTTATACACAGTCCCTCCATTTTCAGGGGCTCAAATGTAATTTGACAAATGAATATAATCATAAATAAAATGTTCATTTTTAATATTTTTGTTGAGAATCCTTTACTGACAATGACGGCCTGAAGTCTGGAACCCATGGACATTACCAAAGACTTGGTTTCCTCCTTTCTGATGCTTCGCCAGGTTCTAACTGCAACTGTCTTCAGTTGTTCTTTGTTTGTAGGTCTTTCTGCCTTTAGTTTTGCCTTCAGCAAGTGAAATGCATGCTCAATTGGGTTGAGAGATAAGGTGATTGACGTGGCCATTGCAGAATATTCCACTTCTTCTTTTCCATCAAAAACTCCTGGGTTGCTTTTGCAGTGTGTTTTGGATCATTGTCCATCTGTACTGTGAAGTGCCATCCAATCAACTTTGCTGCATTTGGCTGAATCTGAGCTGACAGTATATCTCTAAACACTGCAGAATTCATCCTGCTGCTTCTGTCACATCATCAATAAACACCGTTGTGTGCTTTGGATCATGAGCTGTTCCAAGCCTTCTCCACACTTTTTTCTTCCCATCCTTCTGGTACAGATTAATCTTAGTTTTATCCATCCAAAGAATTATTTTCCATAATTGGTCTGGCTTTTTTAGATGTTATTTGGCAAAGTCTAATCTGGTTTTTCTATTCGTCAAGCTTTTGAATGGTTTGCACCTTGTGGTGAACCCTCTGTATTTGCTCTCCTGAAGTCCTCTCTTGATTGTAGACTTTGACAATGATACACCCATCTCCTGGAGAGTGTCCTTCACTTGTCTGGATGTTGTGAATGGGTTTTCCTTTACTATAGAGAGGATTCTGTGATCATCCACCACCGTTGTCTTCCATGGACATCCATGCCTTTTTATGTTGCTGAGCTCACCAGTGCGATCTTCTTTCCTCAGAATGTACCAAATTGTTGATTTGGCCACTCCTAATGTTGCTGTTATCTCTCTGATGGATTTGTTTCATTTTTGAAGCCTTACAGTGGCCTGTTTAACTTGCATGGACAGTTCCTTTGAACGCATGATGTAGGTTCACAGCAGTAGATTCAAAATGCAAATAACACACTAAAAATAAACTCCAGACCTTTTACCTGCTTAATTGATGAAGAAATAATGAAGGAGTAGCCCACACCTGGCCAAGAAACAGCTTTTGATTCAATTGTCCAATTACTTTTGGTCCCTTTGAAGAACAGGGGATGGCTACTCTTAAAGCTGTAATTCCTAAACCCTTCCTCCAATTTGGATGTACATACCCTCAAATTAAACCTGAGAGTGTGCACTTTCAGCCCATATCCATTATATAACTATATCTTGAATATGTTTTGGTAAATACCTGGAAAAATCTAAAATTGTGCCTGTGTCCAAATATATATGGGCCTAGCTATATATAGCTCGGTAATCATTAAAGTAGATTTCCATGTTTCAACACACTTTAAATAATTTGTTTGGGCTGAGCTGACCCAAACAAACTATTTCCATTACTAAACAATGCAGCCGCTTTCTGTAATATACTGTTGTAGAATTAGCTACATACAGTAAATGGCATTGTGTTCTGGCAGCAGTCTTCCCATCTGCTAACAAAATGAAAAAGAATCAGCTTCCCTGCCATTTATCAATGAATACAAGCCTTGCTTTGATTAGCTAAGTTGGAAATCATGTCATCGCCTCTCCATCTCAGCCAATCAGAAGAAGATTTGCATTGATTATTAAAAATACAAGGCTCCTCCTGAATGACGGAAAAGCACTTAGCCTGACACTTCAACTCTGGCAACAGACGGGAAGGGACTCTTACTCCCTTTCCCTCCTAGATTGTAAGCTCCAAGGAGCAGGGCCCCCCTATCCCTCTTGTATTGAACTGTATTGTTGCTGTATTGTCTCCCGTTATATTGTAAAGCGCTGAGCAAACTGTTGGCGCTATATAAATCCTGTATAATAATAATAATAATACTGTATGCAGCTAATGCTACCACAATCCATTACAGCAGACACAGCGGCTACATTGTTCTGTAATGAAAATTGCCTGTCTGGCCCAGACGTAGAATTCTACTTTATTACATAATTTTAGTAAATGTATTTTTTAAATGAAAGTCATATAAGTACCTGAATTTGATCTGGTATCAGCCTCTTGCAGTATAGCAGAGCTGGAATGTGAGAGGAAGAAGCAGTACATGGAGTCAAATAGTTCATGTGGTGGCAATAAGCATGCTGATAGTAAAAGAAAACAGAGTGACAGAGAGATTAGCTCATCACTGTGCTGCTGCTCCTTTCATTGTGAGGAGGTGGGTAGAATGATGCTGACCATCAAATTGCGGATAATTAATGACATAGACAAAGTACTGTGGGAAAATCTCTGGATTGAAGGTAAATATTGCACCAAAAGCTGGTTTGATGTTTTATCTTTTAATTGTTTACTTTAATCTTGTTTTTTGGCTGGAGTTCTGCTTTAAATAATACCATGTGAAAAAATATATGGGCTTGCTAACCTGCTTCTGAAGCTTCTGGTTGTCTGGATGTCATGCTGATGATTTGGCTTCAAAACATCCTTATCCAATGACCTTGAACAAGTACAGAGATAGGACATTCTGCCTTTTCTCCATCTTTCATTTGCTGCATGCTTCTTTTGAGTTTTTAAATCACAAATGTTGAGGACAGATACAGACAGACAACAGTTTAAAAGTGAGCATTGGCAGTCTTTATATTTCTGTCACCATAGGTATATTTTAAATGTCACAGGCTGAGTATAATCAAAAAGGCATAGAGATAAGAGGAGCAGAGTGTTTTGCACCTACTAGGTCATGTCAGAAACCTTGTAGTCTAGGTATGCTGTGGGATGTAGCTTCAAACATATTTTGTCAGGCCTTAGCTAGCAGGTGACTACCAAAGCTGATTTTCTCTAAAGTAGAATGTAAAAGCAAGTCATAAAACTGATCTCCAGGCATATAAAATAACAATTAATGCAGTTATGTATGTAAAAAAAAGAATACAAAACATCTAATGTATTTTGAAATGTAGCTAGTGCACATCAATGAATTTGGTATCAGCCTCTTGTAATATTCTGCACAGCAGCACTTAGACTGGAAGGGGGAGAAGAATCATATGTGCTGCAAGCAATTGTGCTGGCAATGAAAAGCTGACGGGGCAAGAACAGAGTGAGAAGAGGGATGAGTACTGCTGCTCTTATGCTATCCTGCTATATGCTCAAGTCAGCAGCCTGGCAGCACTATCTACCAAGGCTGTGAACATTTCATAACTGGATAGACAAAATATATGAATTCTTGGGCTGGTAAACCATCTCCCATATGTATTTTAACTTTATATGTAGCCGTTTAAACAATCTGTATACATTCTCAGCTTTTCTGCACCATTGAAATGAATGTCTAAAGACAACTTACTTCTGTTTCACAGGACACTTAAAAGTGAAATATGTAAACACATGGGGCAATTCATGCAAGACAAACAGTAATGATGTTTTTTGTCTTATTTCCAGTACCCTCACCTGAGGAACTGCGGCTTGGGGCTCTGTAACAATTTTCTAGATGAAATAAGCAGACAGGCATCTGGTTGTATAATTGACATCTGTGCAGAGCAAAGTAATCTCAGCGAAAAGGTAACTTCCTAAATACACTGCTAATTTCAGATTAGGAGCTGGTGCATTTTTCTGCCTGAAAACTTTTGAGGATTTTTGTCATGTACCAGCATTCTGTATCTTGTACTGGATTGGCTAGTGCCTTATGAAGGGACTTGCTGAGTACCATCATTTCCCAAGTCTTGACAGAGCAAATAGGACAGAGGGTTTGAGTGTTAAATAGTTTTCTGCTTTTCACATGCCTATATCTATAGTTTTCTCCTCCATGTACATGCATGCCAAGATTTGCAGCATAAGTGACAATAACAGATTTTGAGACAAATTGTAATACCTCCAGGGAGACCATAGTTCAATGTTCACCAAGCGTTCAAAAATTTTCAATAGAAATCAAAAACAAGTAACAGAATCAATTGTCACAATTAACAGGCTATATATACAGTACAATATTCATGTACAAAGAGGTCAGAATAAGGCCCTGCACCCTCAATGCTTTGGAACCTTCATTAAGGGGGACTATTGGTAAGCCATTTCCCCTACATTTTTAAATGCCCTCACAGGTTAACCATATACATGCATCATGATGCTAGAAGTAATGCAATTTCTGCATCACTTACATCAGGGCTTGAAATTTCCAACCCGCCGGCTCGCCAATGGTGAGTGGAAATTATGGTGGGGGCGAGTGTGTCCCCCAGGGCCATCTTGCTGAGCAGGCTCGGAGCTCAGGCCAGATCTGTCATTGGCACTGGGAGCCATCAGAATGCTCAATAGCTCAGCGCAATGAAAGCAAAGCAAGGAGTGTGTTCTGTGCTCTCTGCCTCCCCTAGATTGCAGTACCCGGATCTGTGAGTGAACAACGAAGTACTGCAACTTTTTATGGGGGGGTGGTGGTGTGTGTGTGTGTTTGTATGTGTACATGTGTGTGTGTTTGTGTGTGTCTGTGTATGCATGTGCAATTGTACATGTGTCTGTGTGTATGTACATGTGTGTATCTGTACATGTCTCTGCGTGTATGTACATGTATCTGTGTGTGTACATGTACATGTGTGTGTTTGTGTGTATGTACGTACATGTGTATGTGTGTACATGTGTCTGTGTATGTATGTACATGTGTCTGTGCGTGTATATTTCTGTGTATGTACATATATCTGTGTGTCTGTACGTGCCTGTGTGTGTATACATGTGTGTGTACATGTGTCTCTGTGCGTGTGTGTACATGTTTCTGTGTGTGTGTTTGTACATGTCTGTGTGTGTGTACAGGTGTCTCTGTTTGTGTGTGTTTGTTGGTGGCAAGTAACTCTAAGGCCTGGCTAGTAGCTCAGGACGTGAAATTTTAAGCCCTGACTTACATTATGAGGAAAGGGACGTGTTCACCATTGGTTTCAGACAGACTATACTCTTGGTTGCCACACCCAAAATGATGGATGTGTGCGGGCACCTGTGACAATATTTGGACCACATACAGTAGCAACCCTATATGAACAAGGATTAATACCATGGTCACTTTTTACTCACATGATTTAAATCATGTGAGTAAAGGAGATCACCAAGAAAAATATAAATATAGGCTTGTATAATAAAATAGTATGTATACAATGTATTAATTGTGTTTTGCTAATTCAAACATGTATCCTTTGGTATATCAAACCTATCATATAAAATCACACTTTATATAAATCAAAACAGTATTTAAAAATAACAAAGCTTAGGTTTCACTTTCTTCTTGATTTGAAGATGCATATACTGCAGGAGGCTGCTTACTGGCTAACATCTTTGTTGAGAATATCATTCCTATCTGTTGTAACAATTGTGTGCAATATAGATATGGAGCTGTATGCGACAGCCATCTTGTTAAGGCCTCAGTCATTTTGTTTTCATGAGCAGTGTTCTTACTCCAGTTGGAGGGGATGCGCAGGGAACAAAGGAAGCAGTTATTTAAACTGGAGGACCAAGAGAACAGAGAGAGAAGAAATAATCTAAGGATTAGGGGCCTCCCAGAGGATACATGAAGAGGATCTCCGGAAAAAATAAAAAAAAGTGTTTAACCCATTGATAGGTAGACCAGCCACAGACCCTCTAAAGATTGAGAGAATACATAGATTAGGACGCCCACCAGGAGTAACATCAGACACCCCTAGAAACATTATTGTTCGATTCCATCATTATGAAGACAGAGAAAGAATATGGAAAAAATTGCGGGAGACCCCAGAGATAAAATTTGGAGAAACAAAACTACAAGTCTTTGCAGACATTGCCTTGGAGACATTAGCTAGAAGAATATTACTGAAACCCTTACTGGATCAGTTGAGGGAAAAAAGAATTCAATATAATTGGGGATTCCCGGCATGTCTGATTGGGTGGAAAGACGGGAAATCAGCAAGGTTTAGATTCCCAGAACTTAGTGACTTTTGTGAAAAATTAGAACTGCAGAATGTGGGAATTGTGGGTGGTGGTCGGAGGGGTCAAATGAAAGTGAAAATGTAAGGTAAATAAAAGAGAAGTGGCAGCCGGTGGATAAAGAGAGAAGATAGACTGAATTGGGGGGGTGGGTTGGCGGGAAAGGAATGGGGGTTCTGGGAGATGAATTGTTGTCTCCCTCTTCCTTTTTTTTTTCTCCTCTCCCTCTTGCCCCCTCTCCATCACCCCCGTGTGGAATATCTAAAGGCAGCAGACCTGCCAAAAGTATCAAAAGAAAAATTAGTGTCTTTAGAACAAACTAGGAAGAAATTAATAAGGCCCTGAAGAATACAGCAGGAGGGAAGAGCCCAAGACCCAATGGGTATACAGTGGGGTATTATAAAAAATTTGCAGACCTATTGGTCTCTAAGTTTTGCACATATATGAATGCCTTAGGAGAGGGAATGGGAATAAGAGTAAAATCGCTGCAAGCGTATATATAACAATCATCCTAAAAGAAGGAAAGGATAACTCGCAATGTGCTAGCTATAGTCCTATATCACTTCTAAATACAGATACAAAACTGTTCGTGAAGGTGCTTGCTACGAGGTTAAAAGAGCTGATGTCTGAATGGATACATTTAAATCATGTGGGCTTTGTCCCAGAAAGGGAAAGGGAGGGATAATGGTTTAAGAACATTGCTTTTTTGCATAAGGCAAAGAGAAAAGATACAACATTAGTGTTAAAAAGGCATTTGATAGGGTAGACTGGGGGTTCATGATTAATACCCTGGAGGTTTTGGGAATAGGGATTAAGATGATGAGTTGGATAAAGGAGCTCTATAATGGCCCAACAGGGGTAGCTAACATAAATGGGTTTCTCTCTGGGTTTTTTTTAAGATGTACAATGGTACAAGATAGGGATGCCCCTATCCCCCTTATTATTTGTTATATCTCTGGAACCTTTGCTGGCAAAGGTAATAAAGAGTGTAGTTATTAGAGCATATGCTGATGATATACTGTTTTATATTGTGAACCCTGGCTTAACGCTACCTAACCTAATGACATTACTTAGAGAGCTTTCAAACTTGAAAATAAATCGCAAAAATCAATGTTCCAAAGAAAGAGACGCGGATTTTACAAAAGGACTTCCCATTTTCATGGAGGGAGAAAGAATTAGGTTACCTAGGAGTAAAGTTGACTCCTTCTATAAAAAATATATACCAGGTTAACTATATCCCATTGATAAATGAAATAAAGGAGGAGCTTAGAAGATTCTCAAGGGGAAGGGTCTCTTGGATAGGGCGTATAAATTTGGTTAAACTGATAGTCCCAAAAATCCTATATAAATCCCATATGCTCCCAGTCCATAACCCAAGATCCTTCTTTGCGATAATAAAAAAATTAATACTTAAATATATATGGGCTAATAATAAACTGAGAATTTGGTAAGAACTTTTGTGTAATAAGAGAAAAAGGAGGATTACATTTTCCCGATATTAAGAATTATTACACTGCGGTAATACTGTCACGTGTTGTAGACTGGACATATATAATTCACAGGGGAAGAGTTGGGTTTAAATAGAAAGCACTTTAAGTAACACCTGACACTGACACAGGAGGTGTCAAGAGTATGGGATGGGCTACACAAACAAATGGGCTGGAAGTATAATTCACTGTTGATTCCCCTGGTGGGTACCGATTTTTTTCCCGCTGGGGAAAGATATTTAGGGTAATGGTTTAAAGATGCACGGTTGGGGGATATACGTAGTAGTTAGGGGAAGTTAGGCACTTTTCAAGACTTATATGGTAAAAAAATAAATAGATATTGGCATTAGATGAACTGAGATATTATCAATTCAGACATTTTCATTATCAATTAAGACATTTTGTTTCTAAGCTGCCTCAACCACTGAGGATGGCGGAGGACATGCTCCCATTCGAAAAGATATTAGGTTCTAGTATGGTTCCAAAACATGTTACTTCTGGCATATATAAGATTTTTACTGAATTGAGGGGGGTGGGTCCTCCGCTGTTCTTAGAGAAAAGGGAAGGGGAACTGGGAACAAAAATGAATGAATCACAGAAAAATAAAATGTTTAAATTAACACATGGGGTGATGAACATGATCACGGTGGAAATTAATTATAAATGTTTAACGAGATGGTATTTGACACCGAGTGTTGCACATAGACAATGAGTAGAAGTCTCACTGCTTTGTTGGAGGGGATGTGGATCTAAGGGAACAATTGCACATATATGGTGGGACTGTCCAAAAATACAGGGGTTTTGGCAAGATATAATGCAATTTATACAAGAAATACTAGAGATAACTATACAGAAGGACCCATGCGTGTGTGTTAGGGATCCGGGTATGACCAGAAATGTGTGGGAACACAGGTGTAGTCAGGGCTGGAGAGGTGGAATGGTCAGGCAGGCAGTTTGGTACTGTTAAGCACCACCTGGCGGCGTCTCTAGCAGCCCACAGCACGTGGTTCCTCAGGGCGTGGGGTCTAAGTCCCAAGCTGCTTATTCACCAGGGCCCCTGATGGTGTGGGATGGACTTGGAGCAGACTGAGACCAGGTCGTGATCCCTGAGTACGTCCGGCAATGGTAGAGAGCATCGTCAGAGGTGTGCGAGGAAAGGAGCCTGATGTGAAGAGGCTGGCAGACCTGGTAACAGGGAGAGATCCGTGCGGGGATGGATGGATCGTCTGGGTAGCGTAAGGCGTAGTCAGGCAGGCCAGGTCAGCAATGTGCGGGCAGCGAGGTACCGGAGGAGCAGGCAGAGAATGGTCAGGGTCACAAGCCGGGTTCAGTAACTCACGGGCAGCGCGGTAGAGAGGATCAGGCAGAAGGATGGTCAGGCAAGCCAGGGGTTAAACAGGAGACGGTCAGCAGGGTCAGGAACAATGCAGAGGTTGGCAACAGAAGATTCACAGGATACCAGGTACAGGGGCTCATGGGAAACAAACACCAAGGCCCTGATTGCAGGCCTGGTCCTGCTTAAATAGACCTCCTGCAATCAGCCTCAGGTGATGGCTTGATTGCAGGAGTGAGACCCTGGCTGCTGAAAGCACCCTCTTGTAGGAGATGGTACTGCAGCCCACAGAGCAAGTGAGCCACAGCACCACCAGTGGTGAGTCCATTCCTGACAGTGTGTTTATTTTATGTCCCTTGGTTGATGGTAAAACAAGAGCTTCTTACCAGGTTCTGTTCTCCCCTTTTCATTGTTATAAAAGGGGTATGGACAGAGAACAACTGCCAAATCATCCGGTTTAGGGGATGGGTGCTGGTCATCAAGTTTATGACCAAGTCCCAACTACAGTTTCATACTAATATTAATAACTTCCAGTATTTGCAGGTGGTATTCTAGCAACTGGCAGATTATTATTCATAATTTTATTTCCAACCCAGGAATACCAAACACAGCGTACCTTGTCATCTCTGAGGCAGGAGACTGCTTGCTTCCCTTCCGTATGTGCTAGGGTAGTCATGTATGACCTTGATTTATTCGGTATGATATTCTCCATTTAAATATATACCTAATATTAATCTGTCCTGTTCCTGTTGAATTCTATGAATTGTATGTGGAATTGTTAAGTTGTGGAATAGATGGTTTATGGTTTATGGCACGCTCTGCATTCCTAGAGCCTTAATGGCCTTACACATCATGTGTGACGGCTTGACTGTGTTATTATGGTTTTACGATAGGGAAGAGAAAGTGTTTTCCATAGTTCGTGGATACAGACATCCTGCCAAGACTAATTAGCTGGCATGCAGGCCTAGACTCTGGCGTCTATTGTGTTTTAATTAATATAAGAGGTTCTTTTGAAGTTCGTAACATGTTACAGCTACAAATTCCATAGTTTGCAAAGAGGGGGGTGGGGGGTTGGGGGTGGAGTAGGAACACTGCTCATGAAAACAAAATGACTAAGACCTTAACAAGGTGGCTGTTGTGTACAGCTCCATATCTATATTGCACACAATTGGCCCTGCATGGATTATCACAATGTATATAAAAAGAATCTGGTACTAAGTGCTTGGCATAAAACTAAATGAGGAATGTATCAGAGAAAGTCTCCATATTAGGGTCCTGAAACGAACTCCAGAAGAAATCCTGACAGAATCTGCTCATAACTTGTCTGTTAATTTTGTTGGCTCTGACTTTTAAATTGAATATCATGAATCCCATTTTCAGTTGCTTCCAAAGCACTGTGCTGCATCTATCAGCAAAGCCAGGAATAAGAAACTGAAAAGGCCACCCCCTAAGAAAATGGAGCCGGAGAGAGAAAAACCAGGCACAGAAAGCCAACGTAAAAATCGCAGCATGACTACTAAGTGAGTAAAAACCAAAGCAAGCAAATACACTACAAATACATTACTAATCTAACAATCTCATTGAACAGTAAAGTGATGTGATCCTAGCAGAAATGCTTTGCAAGTACCAGGCAATAGATAGTTCTCCCATATTGCAGGTAGTGATGCCTGCACAAATTGCAGGCAGAGGCCAGTGAAGACTGAGACTGAGCTCTGCAGTCATTTGTGCAGCAGTTATTTTTCTTATTTTGGGTCACATTCCTGTGCAATATTCTTTTGTCTCTTTTGGTCAGTTGACCATGTCAACCATGCTTATGCTTATCGCAGAATGTTTTCCTAGAAACTGTCAATGCCATCATAATGTTTGTTATTGTACCTCGTGACACAGCAAATAAATTGGCAAATTCAGTTAGAGAGGCACCAGCTAAGTGGACACCAACAATTTGTCCTCTTTGAAGCTCAGTAAGCTCTGATATGACTCCATTTTATTAGCAGTGCACACAGTGAAGTGAGGCTTCCTACCTGTTAGCTAGGTGTCTCATCACACAGCGGAAGCATTACATCACTTCCACTGTCACTGCAAAACATGTCGTCACTTTCACACCTGCAAATCATGTTGTTTCCATTCTCTGGCTAACCCCTGTATATCATAAAACTGAGAAAGTCAACTTATATACTGTATTTTGAATATGAATTTAGTCAAATTAGTACAAAAAATTGTAACAATGTCCACACTAAAACCAAAACAATGTTGACTGTCCACACTTCAATATTGGGCGGCACAGTGGCTTAGTGGTTAGCATGTCTGCCTTTCAGTAAATGGGTCATGGGTGTGATTCCCGACCATGGCGCCTCCTGCATGGAGTTTGCATGTTCTCCCTGTGCTTGTGTGGGTTTCCTCCCACACTCCAAAGACATGCTGGTAGGTTAATGGGATCCTGTCTAAATTGGCCCTAATATGTGTGTGTATGAATCTAAAGTTAGGGACCTTAGATTGTACACCTCTTTAGGGTTAGGGACTGATGTGAATGTTCAATATATATGTGTAAAGCGCTGTGTAAATTGACAGTGCTATATAAGTACCTGAAATAAATAATAAATAATTGAGAGCACAGAGAGACGAAGAGATGCATTTATAAAAAATTTGCAGAGCTATTCATCCTCAAACAGTATGCACATTAGATCTGTGTGGATTCTGGCAAAATTAAATATAACCGTGCTATTTTCTCTAGAGGTCAGATGAGCTTCAATCATAAAAACAGATTGAAACCGGAAAATACAGCATTATGTCACCTAGATGGAGCTGATTATAGGAATGAAATACAGTACTTATGTACTCTGATTGTCAGCTCAACAGTGCCCATAATGCAGTATTTTCTGAATTCGCTATTCTTATAATTGAAAAACATCCAACCTGATGAGAAAATCGTCTAGTAACATTCAATTTTGCCAGCATTCACACAGAACAAATGCACATGCAGTTTAGCAGAACGCATACCAATTTGTTTCTAAATACACCCCCAAGTTCATTGGTATAAAGTGGGTGTAAAGTCCAGAAAAGTGCAAAGAGGGTTTTTATAGCGTTCAGAGAGAATTTCCCAAATGGTTATCCACTAGTGAAAAATATACCAAGGAAATCTGTAGCTTGACTTTTCATATGGTGACTTTCCAGTGACTGGATGGTGATACAGATCTGCTTATTTTTTTACTGTAGCTATGTACTACTGGCTAGATAAATCTTTTATACATTTTGGTTGCTAGAAATGAGTGACAGATGTATGTGATCAATGTGAGTTTGGGATGGATATCTAGCCACATGTGTTCTGACTGATGATTGGTGTGGTGGGGCTACTAGTCATTAAGTCTAGTGTAGAGCATGGGAGTGAGTGCTTAGTTATGTTACTAGGTTGTTGTCTTTTGCATTGTGGTGCTAGTAAACATGTTTGTACCTGGAAACAAGAGGCAGAGAGTGACACCTCATATGACCCAAAAACAGACTGACTGTAAACTTAAATAAATCACTGGGGAAGAATAAAGGCTACCATTGATGAACTTCTGAAAAAGCTACCTGCCTGGCTGTCATTCCAATCCCCTTGTTTCAATATTGACCCAGAACGATATGCTGATAAGGAGTTCTATATTCTCTCTGACTGGGGCACTAGAAGTGTAGTTCAACAAGAGCTACTAAGTCATTGCAGAATTTATTCTATTGAAAATGATTTTACAATTTTAAGCACAAACAGCAAAGGCAGGTACACAATAATATAATTATTAGAGATGAGCGAAGTATTCAAAAATTCGATTCGACTGATTCGGCGAATTCGTAGAAAAATTTCGATTCGAGTCGAATATATTCGCTGTGAATTTAACTTAAAAAAGGGTGTTTCTAGGCTTCAGAGAGACTTAATATTAGTGCTGAACACTGTACCTTTAATTTAAATGCCCTTGGAGTCTGCTGGGGAAGAGAAATAATACTGTCAGGCAGTATGACATGCAGATGAGTGCCGTCGATCTTAGAATCACCGCACACTTCACTCATTTGGCCAGTCACGGGGCCAAAACCAGAGTGTGGAGCCACAGTGTGGCGGTGGAGGCAGCAGCAATGGGAGGCCATACAGCACCCTATGACAAAAATGGAAACCACCAGCAGTGTGAGGAGACCTGAAAGTGGCACATGGCAGAGTGTGGCGATAGAGACAGCAGCAATGGGAGGCCGTACAGGGACCCATGACACACTCTGGACCTGGCAGCAGCATGAGGAGGCGGTACAGGGGCCCATGGCAGATTACGGGCCTGGCAGCAGCATGAGGAGTCGGTACGGGGGCCCATGGCAGATTACAAGCCTGGCAGCAGCAATGGGAGTCGGTACGGGGGCCCATGACACACTCTGGACCTGGCAGCAGCATGAGGAGGCGGTACAGGGGCGCATGACAGATTACGAGCCTGGCAGCAGCAACTTGGACAGGAGGACGTTCAGTTTCTGCACCGTCTGGTGCGTGCTCGCAAACTGTTGTCTCTTGGAAACGGATTCCAAGAAAGACTGCTGACGGAATCCGTGAAGAGGAGTAGCAGGAGAAGGAGCATCTGAACGAGCGGAATATGCCAACAAGCGACAACAGGGGCCCATGACAGATTACGGGCCTGGCAGCAGCATGAGGAGTCGGTACGGGGGCCCATGGCAGATTAGGGGCCTGGCAGCAGCTATGGGAGGCCCGTAATCTGCCAGCACCCTATGACAAAAAATGGAACCCACCAGCAGTGTGAGGAGACCTGAAAGTGGCACATGGCAGAGTGTGGCGATGGAGACAGCAGCAATGGGAGGCCGTACAGGGACCCATGACAGACTCTGGACCTGGCAGCAGCATGAGGAGGCGGTATATAGGGGCCTATGGCAGATTAGGGGCCTGGCAGCAGCTATAGGAGGCCCGTAATCTGCCAGCACCCTATGTCAAAAAATTCTACACACCAGCAGTGTGAGGAGACCTGAAAGTGGCACATGGCAGAGTGTGGCGATGGAGACAGCAGCAATGGGAGGCCGTACAGGGACCCATGAGAGACTCTGGACCTGGCAGCAGCATGAGGAGGCGGTATATAGGGGCCTATGGCAGATTAGGGGCCTGGCAGCAGCTATAGGAGGCCCATAATCTGCCAGCACCCTATGTCAAAAAATTCAACACACCAGCAGTGTGAGGAGACCTGAAAGTGGCACATGGCATGAGACACTGTGGACCTGGCAGCAGCATGAGGAGGCGGTATATAGGGGCCCATGGCAGATTAGGGGCCTGGCAGCAGCTATGGGAGGCCCGTAATCTGCCAGCACCCTATGTCAAAAAATTCAACACACCAGCAGTGTGTGAGGAGACCTGAAAGTGGCACATGGCAGAGTGTGGCGATGGAGACAGCAGCAATGGGAGGCTGTACAGGGACCCATGAGAGACTCTGGACCTGGCAGCAGCATGAGGAGGCGGTATATAGGGGCCTATGGCAGATTAGGGGCCTGGCAGCAGCTATAGGAGGCCCGTAATCTGCCAGCACCCTATGTCAAAAAAATGGAACCCACCAGCAGTGTGAGGAGACCTGAAAGTGGCACATGGCAGAGTGTGGCGATGGAGACAGCAGCAATGGGAGGCCGTACAGGGACCCATGACACACTCTGGACCTGGCAGCAGCATGAGGAGGCGGTATAGGGGCCCATGGCAGATTAGGGGCCTGGCAGCAGCTATGGGAGGCCCGTAATCTGCCAGCACCCTATGACAAAAAATGGAATACACCAGCAGTGTGAGGAGACCTGAAAGTGGCACATGGCAGAGTGTGGCGATGGAGACAGCAGCAATGGGAGGCCGTACAGGGACCCATGAGAGACTCTGGACTTGGCAGCAGCATGAGGAGGCGGTATAGGGGCCCATGGCAGATTAGGGGCCTGGCAGCAGCTATGGGAGGCCCGTAATCTGCCAGCACCCTATGACAAAAAATGGAACACACCAGCAGTGTGTGAGGAGACCTGAAAGTGGCACATTTTTGGGGCATGATTCATGGCGGATTTAGTCAGTTGTGTCAGGAACAATGAAATCCAGACTAATCCACGCCTGATTCATTTTCACAAACGTCAGTCTCCACACTGGGTGGACAGTCGTGTCCTCCGCGGAGTTGCAATACCTCCTGCCGCACTAAACACGCGCTCCGATGCCACGCTACTGGCCGGGCATGACAGCCTTTCAAGGGCAAATTCAGCTAGTTGGGGCCAAAGGTCAAGTTTCGTTGCCCAGTAGTCAAGGGGATTGTCTACCTCGGTTGGCAGGGTGCTGTCCAAGTAGGCCTAAGCCTGTTGTTTGAGGTCCTGCTCCAGGTCCACCTGATGCTGCTGCTGCTGCTGCTGCTGCTGCTGCTGCGGCTGGTTAGTAGTTTCCTCACTGCGCTGGTGAAGAAAGCTACTCATCATCGACTGCAGACTGAGGCAGCCGCTGCTGGTGGAGCTGCCACTGCTCCTACCACCCCACCCCTCCCCTGCTGCCATGGCAGCG